CTGCCGGTTCTGCTGCTGCTGTGGTGGGGCGGCGCCTGCGCCTTCGCCTTGTGGAGGTGCGGGGGGGGTCTGCTTGCTTCACTCAGGGCTGAGGGGGGAAAGGTATGAGTTGGGTCTGAATTAGGGGGAGCTGGGGCTGAGGCCCCCCATAAGAGATGAGAGCCCCCCCTAAGATTTGAAAATCATAACCGGGGGGTGGGGGGGTCACTTAAGTGGACTTGTTCATTAATTAAATGTATGTAGTGTTAAACCACCACAAGCCATCCGGAAGAGTCAAAGTGTAATTCAAACCCTTAACATGAGGAAGAGTCCCTCAGCCCTGTGCACTGGGCAGCACCATACCCATGGGCATCTGGTGCCTCCGGGGGGGGGCACCAGATTGTGGACCGGGGGGGCAGTCCCCCAGCAGCGGATCGCCAACCAGGGGTGTGCAGCCAATTTCAGGCACTCCCTATGTGTCACCAATGACCATACCTAGACTCCTGGCAGCCCCAGGTGAACTTTTAGTATCGCCCCCCACAACTTTGCCAGAGATAACGATAATAATAATTTTTAAATTACCATTTTCGTGTTCCCTTTCTGTCCGGCCCTGGTCAGCCACCCATTTTACCCATGCCTGTGTCCGGCCCTGGCCCTGGGGGTCTGCACTGCCCAGTGCTCCCTGGTGGGGAGGAGGGCACCCAGGCACCCCATAGCTGTGTGTGGCCTGGCCCAGCCGCACCTCACCATGGGGCAGCCTGCTGGGAACCTGAGCCTTGCTGCCCTGGTTCTCACTCAGGTCCTGGCTTCTTAAACTGCAGCCTGATGCTTCCTATACGGTCTACAGGGTCTTGCCTTGCCACCTGTTGCAGGGGCCTGCTTGTTTTCCGCCTCGCAGGAGCTTGGCCGCCAACTTTTCCTTGGCGTGGAAATGGGTTTGGCCCGTCACAGCTGGGTTTGCTTTCTTGGCAGGTACAGGACGCCCGAAGGAACCTACGTTCTCTTCACAACCCGGACCACCGTACGTATTCACAGGCTGGCAGTTCATGCCATCTGTCGTTCTGGTCTTGTTCTGTTTCGCTGCAGCCGCCAAACAAGGTTTGGGGCCTGGCGATATTTTGGATCAAACTTTGATGTCCAGCTTTGTTTCCATGTAGAAGTACTGTAGTTTTTCCTGGACATAGACCTTTTGGAGGGATAGGAGGCATCCCTCCTCTACGGACTGTTAGTTGATACAGTGTATTTTGTTTAAGTGCATGGTCTGGAGCCTGAAAAAAAAGACTGTGCACTTACCTGAGCTTAATGTAAACCACATTATTAAAGTACAGCAAGGGTGTCAACCATCCGGCCTGCAAAGGTAGGTCTTCCAGCCTGAAGGGCTTCTGGCAGGTACAACCACCCACCTCTGCAGGCTAGATTCAGCCCATGGCTGCTGGAGCTGCAGTGCTGACTCTGGGTGCATCTACATTAGATACTACTGCACAGTCGTTACTGTACATTGATTTACTACTTGTATTAGCAAGTACTAAATAAATAAGCAGTAACCAGACTTACTGTGCAGTAGCACCAGCGGAAATCTTTTAGGTGATGCTACAGTGCAGTAGCCTAATAATACTACCCAGTAGTGTATTACCACTGTCCATGCTTTGATGTGCTACCACGCAGTATTTTTTGGCTACTGCACAGTCAACATGCCCAGTGTTTATGCCTGATCTGGAAGCCAGGGAGTTAATGCACTCACCTCCCCACAGAATCAGGGTTTTTAGTTGCCCCTAGCGGTTAAGATCATCCATAGGGGAAAAAGTGGAGGGGGAGGATGGAGGAAAAAAATATTAAGCAGCCGAAGTGTTAACTCCCTGGTTTTGAAAACTGCACTGAAAGAGCTGCTCCAGCAGTTGTGGGGATGGATGCTGTAGCTCGCATGTCATATGACTGTGGGAAGTCTTATGGTCTGGATCTGGCCTGCAGGGCCCAACAAGTTTGACGTACCCATGGGCAGATCTAAGTTTTTTAAAAGGTGGGGGATGCGGATGATGGTGTGGTACATCATTGTATATAACACGACACACATTTTTCTCCACAGAAAAAACAAACTGGAAGCTTTGTTAATATGCTAGGAGCCTAGAGCTATATTATTCATTTTAAGAACAAAGCAGAAACAATATAATTTTATTAGAGTGTGCACTAATTAACAATATCATATATTATGTATAAAAACCACAACGAACTAAGGAAAAAGACTCAAAATATGTTGTTTTTAAAGTTCTGTTGTCATTAGAGTTAAATCTACATTTCTTTCAGCTCATAAAACAAAATCTGTCCTTCTTGAACATGTTGACAGTGCAGTGCTTCACTGAAAGTTATTTCCTTCTCTGATTTGATGTACACCTGAGTTAATTTTTTTCACACCTGAGGTAATGTTTTTAGCTAGTTAAAAACAGTCTGCAGAGCCGTCACTAGAAGCTACATTAGCAGGAGCATCTAATAAACAGCAGACTTGCAAAAGAAAGGATACTTGATTAATGGAACATCAAGACCATTAAAAAAGGAGAGAGGGTCATTAATACCTGTGAAATGGAGTTTAGAAGGAGCCAGGTAAATTGTAATGAGCCAAGACATCAATCAACTCCCTCATTGCTGCTGTCACTGTAAAGCAGTTGATTTTAAACTTCAGTTACAGCAAAAATCAAAATAGCCGGGGGAGGTGACTGCAACACCTCACCCCCCTGAATCTGCCCCTGGACACAGCTGAAGTGCAGAATAATCCGTCTTTCCCAGAATAGGCGACAGGTGCCTCCTGAGTCTGGGGGGGCAGAAACAGAAGTGCTGCCGGCATTTCTCTTGGCACCTCCACTCCCCAGCTGGCATCAGTCTTGGGTGGGGCACCAGCCAGTACTTCTTTCGGTGGCCGCACTCCCAGGCCAGTGAAGGCCAATCTCAGGGGGGCATGTGCTTCCCCCGTGCCCCCTCTACCTATCACCTGTGTTCTCCAGTGGAAGTTTTGTGGGACTAGCTCCTATCACCTTCAGGACTTCTAATACTCTTTCTGGCCTAGGACTTGAAAAGTACCACAGCTTTAGAAATGGGGGTCTCAAACCTCTGGCCAGGTGGGACAGAGTGGAATCAGAACACCGCTACAAATCAGTTGAGCTAATCTGCAGTTGTTTGACCTATTTCATTGAGGGTTATGCTGCTGTGGGTTTACTTTCTTTTACTGTGTAGTAAAAGCACGCACACAGACAGTTCTAACAGACCATCTGATGATGATAAAGTTCCAAACCCCTTGTCTTACTGTAACTTGTTCACATGCCCATATCTCTAAACTACACTCTCTGGCATTACTTACTGTGTATATCACTTTTCAACCAGATATTCTAGCCTACTAACAGTGGCCACAGAAATGGCTGCTGGGATTGAAAGTGTTATTTACAAGTTTCATAAGACAGTCAACATCCTACTGTATTTACTCTCAGATTATGCGTACTCACCTTTCCTCTGCCCCCCCCCCCCAATTGAGTTGAATCTCTTAAGTAGGGAAGCTGATTTTGTGTCCAGAATAGAAGCACTCCCTGACTCTTTCTTCATCCAAAATTTAAAACCACCCATCTGGCAGCACCAACAATTGACTTAATGGCTCATTGCTCTTCATTCCACAGATGTAAATGACTCTCTCTCCTTTTTAATGGTCTGAAGTTCCACGAATCGAGCTTACCTTTCTTCTGGCAATGTTGCTGTCTGATAGCTACTCTTGATTTTTCTTCTCCTATTTAATAGTTCTACAGACTGTTTTTAGAACTTTTCAAATTCACAGATCATCCCATAGGGTGCAGACAGAAGTGATCATTTTTGCCTGATCTGGCCCCAGAAAGTGGCCTACAGCTGTGACCAGACCGAAGTGAATGACTGCAGGCTGCTTTAGAAGTCCTGATCCTGCGAAAATCTTCAGACAAACATGCTCCAAAATGGAGCATGTTCTGTAACTTATGTCTGCGGAGCTTCCAGCCTATTGCTGTTTTCAGAATGAGAGGGGATAAAGGGAGCAGAGGGAGTTTGGTCTGGGGGTTTTTCAGCACACACTGAAGGATTGGATTGGAGCCCCCCTGAGGTGGGGAGGCTTCAAACTCCTGACTGGAGTTTCCTCTGCTCCCTTTCCCCCCTCCCATTCTGAAAACAGCATTCAGGCTGGAAGTGGGGAGTAGCATTGCTATGGAGACCAGGCTGCAGGCTATCCTAATGTAGCTGGAGTCCCCAACTCTTAGACCCAACAGTGAATTTCTGTTTGGTTTGGGGAGTCATTGCAACTCAGAGCGCTTCCTGCAAAGTGCTATGAGTTGTAACAAGGAGCTGCTCTTCTTTCTGCATCCATAGAGACCATTCTTCAGCAGCAGCTACAATTTGAATTTTTGGAATTTGCTCCTAAATATTTTAAATATTAAAGGAAACTAATTTTTGCTGTATAATTAGAAAGTTGTTACTGAAGGAACATTGTAATCTTACAATCCTTGTACAGTTGAACCTGTAATTCCATAAATTGTATATTTGTATATTCTAGTACAAATTCTCCACTCTCCATTTAGGTATTTTTAGAATATGAAGGAGAGTTATTTCTGAGCTGGAATATTCCTGTGGTATGTACTATTGCAAATGAAAGGTATGGATTTCAAAAGGAAAACTAACTTCATGAGGTGGGAATTAGTGTTATATTGAGCACTTTTGAAAATTCCACCCAAAGCTAAAAGGTGGTGGTATTTGCATCCATGTCTTGATAAGATGGAGTTCAGAGACTACAGTCTTTTGGAAAACTTTTATTTCTTAATAATTGGTGGGTGGATTATTTGTTTCTGAAAGAGAGTTGTGGGTTAAGATTTATAAAAAGAGCTGAGGTGATGCCAAAGGAATTAAAGCAACTTTTTTTCAAATCTAGATCCTCCCCAAGAAAGAAAAGTGAATTGCCACCATCTTTACAAAAATGAAGCTAGTGTTGGAGTTTCTGTACAAGATCTATTCTAACTTAAACATTTGCCTGTGTAGTGGAATACTTTCTCTTACCCAAATTATATATATTTAAAATGTCTGACACATGACTGAATTTGATATCTTTTATTAGACCAACCCAAATAGTTGGAGAATAGTTATTAAGCAAGCTTTCGGGTTCAAAAACCCTTCGTTAGGGTAAGGAAGCTTCAGCAGTTGGTGTGTGCTCTTCCTGGATGGAATGAATCAGGAAGAGCACACACCAACTGCTGAAGCTTCCTTAGCCTGACAAAGGGTTTTTGAACCCGAAAGCTTGCTTAATAACTATTCTCCAACCATTTGGGTTGGTCTAATAAAAGATATCAAATTCACCCAAGGAACCTTGTCTGCCTATGTCCTTAGACCAACACGGCTACAACCTAAACCCCTGAAATATGACTGTATATTCAAAGCATACTGGTCCAGTAAATTTTGAATATATATATAGTTTCATAGTTGTTAGTGTCAGAAGAAACCTAATCAGATCATCAAGTCCGACCCCCTGCCATGGGCAGGAAAGAATGCTAGGGTCAAATGACCCCGGCTAGGTGATTATCTAACCTCCTTTTGAAGACCCCCAGGGTAGGAGCGTGCACCACTTCCCTTGGAAGTTGGTTCCAGCTCCTAGCCACCCTGACTGTAAAGTAGTGCCTCCTGATCTTTAGCCTGAATCTACTCTCAGACAACTTGTGGCCGTTATTCCTTGTTACTCCCGGTAGTGCTCAGGGGAACAGGGACTCTCCCATTGCCTGCTGGTCCCCTTTGGCAAGTTTATAGACAGCCACCAGATCCCCTCTCAGCCTTCTCTTGTGGAGGTTGAACAGGTTCAGGTCCATAGCCTCTCCTCATAGGACCTACCCTGCTGCCCCTGATCATGCGAGTGGCCCTCCTCTGGACCCTCTCCATGCTGTTCACATCCCTCCTGAAGTGCAGCACCCAGAACTGGACACAGTACTCCAACTGTGGCCTGACCAACGCTGCGTAGAGGGGGAGAATCACCTCCTTGGACCTGCTTGTGATGCATCTATGGATGCATGACAAGGTGCGGTTAGCCTTTCTGACCACGTCCCCACATTGGCGGCCCATGTTCATCTTGGAATCAATAGCGACTCCAAGATCCTTTTCTGCCTCTGTGCTGATGAGAAGGGAGTTCCCCAGCCTGTAGGTATGCTGCTGGTTCTTCCTCCCCAGGTGCAGTACCTTGCACTTGTCAGTATTGAAACCCATCCTGTTCTCATCTGCCCACCTCTGTAACCTGTCTAGATCTAGTAGTAGCATGTGTATGTATATGTACATATATGTTTTATAATTATATATCTATATCTAGATACACATATATAAATTGAATGTATGTATAATAAAATTACACACACATCTGTAGATATAGATGCAGTCCTATAGATAGGTATATACATGTAATATTATTATAGCTAGATAGACTATAGATAGATAGAATTCAGGATTTGAAATAAGTAGCTGTTTAAAATGTATTTAGTACATTTAGTACATTTTAATGGGTAAATTTTGTACATGTTTGGTTTGATTAGAAATTGCTATAATTGAGGTGGTTATACAAAATAAAGAGTGTATGGAATTGCACTGGAAAAGGCTGTTTATCAATAATGATTTATTCTCATAAATTTGGGGAGATAAGCTATCCCAGTAGATGGTACCTTTACCTTAGTGAAACTTTGTCCATGCTATAGATTGTACTCATTTCACTATTTCTGAGTTTAAAATAAATACATAAGTTCACCTTTATAGGTCAGGCCTAAGATATGCAATTCTTAGGCACATTTTGAACCAAATGTGCAGTCTAATTATTGCATATTAAAAAATTGTGGAGACAGTAAAGAGGAGGAGAAATTTATGGTCTTTGGTGACAGATGATGATGTGGGGAGGAACTGTCTACTAAATTACTAAATCAGAATGGGTTGTGCATATTTCTGGAGCTTAATGCTAGACTAATGCAGATGTGTGTTTTATTTTGCTAATTACTTTAGTTCACCTACAACAACGCTGAAGTGTCAAATTTCTGGATCTCATAGACTGGAACCAATACTTGACACTGAGGTAAGAGATCAATAGGAGAGACAAAAAAATAATAGTGTTCTATATTTAAGTTTATGTGTATCTGGTGCTTGTGCGGACATGGAAATCTGTGTCTAGCCACGCAGTTGTAATTCCATAATATAATTCTTTGTTTAAAAAGGACTTGAGGTTTTAGACCCAATGGCTGTGAAGGAAATTTTTAAATGTGAACCAGATTTAGTCATGTTTCCCTGAGTCTACTGAAAGGTGAATGAGACATCTGAGTAGCCCTCTTCATCTTGTTGAGGTGTTAAGTATTTTATATAGTTCATTTACAGCTTTCGATAAAACAGTACATAAAATAACCAATATAATTAAATATATTGTATAATATAATAATAGGAGTTATATAATTTGTAATTTTACTAAAATCATGCAGTAAGATTAATCATTCTATCCATTTGAACAACATTTAAACAAAATTAATATATGATAATACAAAAAACAGATAAAATGAAGCAGTGAACAATAAAATAAAACTGGGGAACTCTATTTAATTTTGTGCAAGTAATGCAAATACCCGTACTGGGTATTTGCACTCATGCAGCTCTGAGCTGTTAGATAAAAGCCAAATATTTTTTCTTCATTAACCATATATTTAAAAATTTTCACTAATGGAAAAATCAATTTTCCTCTTATTTCTTCAAAGAATGAACAAGACCGCACTGGTGATTTAGATAATCCATCTCATTCTTCCTACAAGAACATATTCTGTCCAAGTATGGGATCCAACACCTCCTGCTTATAACAACTGTAGGTCTCATTAAAATGAATCACAGCCTAATAATGGTCTCTCATTTTTTGTGGTTTTATAAAGAATGGCTGTCAGCAAACTTTTGGATCTCTCTTGCTCTGTCCTCCAACCACTAGTTCTTTGCTCTTGGATTTTCCACTAGGTCTCTGCTTTAATGTGGCAATAAGTGTCTTGCTTCTTGTGATCAGTACTCACAAGAATAGGTCTGATGTTGTATTGTGTCATGGGATGGGGTCCCTAAGGATGGCTGTGTTACCCCCAGGGCCCCTCAACCATGCCAATTTGGCCCAATGGGCCCCCTCTATTCTTGCCTGCCATGTCTTGATGTATTTATGCTATAGAGAGGCTGCCTTCACGCCCAGTCGGACACAGTCCTGATGGACTTCCCAGAACCCCGTGGGTTCCCAGACCCCTTGTGGGTCCCATTCAAAAATAGTTGTCACAGGACACCCCAGCCTTATGGGCTATATGCATGAATCCAAACCATCCCTTTACCACGCCCCAAGCCTCGCAGATGGTATTGCCGTTGTCTCTCCCAGACCTTGCTACAACTCGGCCCCTTGTCCTCACTGGGCTCTTTGCAGCCCTGTGTCCATGCCCCTTGGCGCTGGGGTCTCTGCAGGCCTGTCTCTGCACCAGGGTCTGTGCACCCAAAATGCCGTGCCCTCTCTGGTGCCAGTGTCTGTGCACCCAAAATGCCATGCCCTCTCTGGCACCGGGGTCCCCACCCTATAGCGGGGCCCCAATGAGGCCTCCTCCTTCACCAATAGCCTCTCCCAAACCACTGGTGTTATAAAACAACAACCAAACATAAGCCCCTGGGCTATAACATAACACAAGCTACATAAGGTGTGCTCTGCCCCTTTAAATTACTAGAAGCAGAACTTAGCCAGGCCTTTTCCCTTCACTTACTCGAGGAGGTTTCCTTACCCCTTGGCCGCTGGCAGAGAACTGCCTCCTAGTCCCCATCATGGGGTTTATATGGGCCCAGGACCCTGCCTGTTCTGGCCAGCTGACCAGGTGCAGGCTAATTTCATCATTAGCTGGTTGCCATGGCAACCTGCACCTGGGCTCCTGTCTGGCTTTTTGGGCTCTCCCCAGGCAGTTTCTGCTCTTCTAGGAGCAGGCACCTAAGTGCCCTGCAACATACTGTTCAAGAAACTAAGCCCCCCGAGGTCTTTAGGGTTGACAGTTTGAACACCACCACGTTGCATTACACAGGAGCTACCTTCCCTGTTTCTCCTGCCACATCTTGTTCTCATTTAGTTTGAGAGAGGTTTCTTGCTGGAAGAAGGCCCTGTACTTAGGTCCTGCAGGCATCTTTCCTACAGGGCTCTGCCTCCCTTTTTACCCCATCCACACACCAGCCAGATGTAAAGATGTTGTCATGTCTTTGTCTCCAAATGAAAGCACCTGCGATCTCACAATCATGTCTTTTGTCAGCAATGTACTCACAGGGGTCAGTGCCTTAGTTCAAATTACAGCTAGGTTCATCCCCTCTATCAGTTCATTAACTGAATTACTTGTAGATCAAACAAATTAATCCCTTTGAAGTCCCCTCTGGGCCAATCCAGACTCAGGCCTCAATCAATTGGAGAAAATTAATTCATCTTAATTAACAAATTAATTTCCATCAATACTTGTCTAGTCTCAAGTCTGTCAGTTCAGTTAATTTCTTCTGGTGATCACACCACTACAATCAACTGAGTTTCACTCACCCTTGATTCATCAGGGTATTTCCCTCTGTTGACTTGGTTGCTCTGTACTGGCAAACTGTGAGCCCTTGACTTCACCCTGTGCCAACACCATCGCTCTTGTATAGTTTGTGTCAGACCCCTCATAGATTAGCACAGGACAAGAGCTCCCTTGTCTCCAAGCCTGTCCTGGCTGCAGTTTCTGAGGGCAACCTGTCCCGTCCTCTGCTCCTGGGATTATGGTACCTCATACCAGGTGTGCCCCTCTGAGCACCTGGCTTGTGAAGACTCATCCACCACTGGCTCTATCTCTGGTCTCCAGCTCACCGTTGCTGTGCTGCTCCTGTGGCCACGTCAGTGCCTCTTCCACTTCCCCTCCCAGTCCTGCCAGATAGATGTCTGGTTTCACTGGCAGCTCCCTGGCAGCTCCCAGTCTGCAGGGAGAAGGACCTTGTATAGCGGGGCTGTGTATGAGATCCAGGCTGCTGCTGCTGCCATCTCTGCAGGGACATAAGGGGAGTCTCCAGCCCTTACTGGACTCTGCCACTTTCTCCCAATAAATGAAAGGGGCCCCCAGCCCCAGCTTCCTTAGAGGAACCTGCCTCCTGGTCTCACACTTCTGTTTGGAGTTGATGTCATTCTGCCACACTTTGAAGACACTCCTTTTTCTGTCAGTGAGAGCTTGAATTTTCTTATTGTTCTCATTCCCAATGTTTCTTTGTGGAGAAGCCTACAGATTCTTCACATGCCTCATAGATGCCTTTGAGGCCAGGGGCGGTGCCAGCCTCTTCCTGGTGCGGGGCTGGGCCGGGGCTGGGCTCAGCTGGGCAGGGAGCCAGAGGCGGTGCTAGGGTCTGACACAAACTATACAAGACGCAGCTGAGCCCACCCCACTCCCTCCCACTCCAAGCCCAGACCCCCCCCACACTGGGAAAAGGCTGGTGCCACCCCTGCCAGGAACGCTGAACCTTTCCAGGCTCAGCTGCATTGTGGGGAGGGAGGCCTCAGCTGCGTGGTCAGGCAGGTGGGCTGCAGTGGCAGTGCTGGGAGTGGTGGCTATAGCCCTCCCAAGCCCCTCCCCCAGCGCCACCCTGCTTGAGGCTTTCCCAGTGACCAATGCAACCAAAACTATCTAAGAGTCAAGCATATAAGGAGCCATCCCTCTGAGGTCTGAGGATGGAATAACACTCTTTAAAGACAGCTCCACCATCATTGCATGCATGGACAGGAATCTCATCAACGTCAACCAGTTACATTCTGAATCGAAGATAACCAACACCTCGATTACTGATCTTCAGTACTTTTGTGTCATATGTTCCCACTCAATTTAAGAGCTCTAGATCACTCTCAGCTGCTTCTATCAAATGCTTGGATTCACTGTCAGCTTCACAAAAAATAAGATACTTTACCAGCCTATCCCAAAACAACCAACTGCTCCTGCACATTTTACAATTATAGAGCAGTCCTTGGAGAGAGTAGTAATCAGTGGCTCAATATCTAGTTGGCAGCTGGTATCAAGTGGAGTGCCCCTGGAGTTAGGCCTGGGGCCCACTTTGTTCAATATCTTCATTGACAATCTGGTAGATGGGATGAAGTGCACCCTCAGCAAGTTTGCAGATGACACCAAGCCAGGGGACATAGTAGATATGCTGGAGGATAGGGCTAGGCCTAGACAAATTGGAGGATTGGAACAAAAAAAAAATATCATGAGGTTCAATAAGGACAAGTGCAGAGTCCTGCACTTAGGATAGAACAATCCCATGCATCAGTACAGGTCAGGGATCAACTGGCTAAGCCCCAGCTGTGCAGAAAAGGATCTGGGGCTTACAGTGGACAATAAGAATATAAGCCAACGTTGTGCCCTTGTTGAGAAGAAGGCTAATTAGCAGCCTTCAGCTACCTGAAGGGTGGTTCCAAAGAGGATGGAACTTAACTCTTTTCAGTGGTGACAGATAACAGAACAAGGAGCAATGGTCTTAAGTTGCAGCAAGGGAAGTTTAGGTTAGATATTAGGAAAAAAACTCTCACTGGGAGGGTAGTGAAGCAACAGAAAGACTACCCAGAGAAATGATGGAATCCCCATCCTTGGAGGTTTTTAAGACCCGGCTAGACAAAGCCTTGGCTGTGATGACCTAGTTGGGGATGGTCTTGCTTTGAACAGGGGTTGGACTTCCTGAGGTCTCTTCCAACCTAATTTTCTATGATCCTATGATTCCAATTTCAATCCTGATTCCTGGACTTTGACTATTATTAGGATTTTTTTCATTATTCTGTTAAGAATAAAAAGTAATACAAAGGGTCAAATGTGGAGTGGTTATTTCATAATTTTCTACTAATAACGTATTTTATACAGTAAAAACTATTTAAACACAGTGGGTGCATCTACATGTGCAATTAAGGTAAATCAATAAGCTCCTGAGCTGTTTGAGCTAGAGTAAACTGCTTCCAGGTTCAGCATCTACATGCGCACCTGGGACAGCAGCAATTTGAGTCAGGCCAGAGCAGCCCCAGGCTGGCAGGGTGTGTGCGTGTGT